ATCAGCCTCTGCATGACTGCTGTGGGTGCAGTGTCCGCCAGAGTCTGCCCGTTGATGAAAATTTGAGTAGTGTTTGCTTGTGCAAGACTCGTCACCACAATGCTAGAGTGTTTTGAGGAGTCAGAGGGGTGAGTGAGGATACACTTTTCCACAACCCTGTTATCTAAATTGGTTGAATATGGAGTAGGAATGGCACTAGCAACGAACTTCACAGATTTAATTGGTGTCAGTGTGAATGAGGCTTTACACACTGAGTTACGTGCCATTGTTTAATATTTAAGGTTAGTGGTTTGTTCAAATCCCTGGTTTGTTAGTTGGTTAATGTTTGTGTCTGTTTGCTTTCATTTAAATTATTATAAGACTCAGATTTGGCAGCCAGTTGAGCATCAAAGATCCAGTGATTTGGAAGCAACTGGTAACGTGTGGCGAAAATTTTTAAGCTTTTATTACCGAACACCAGAGAGATGTTTGACTATCAGCTCAGCAACGATTGATTCATTCATTGATTCACTGCTGAGCTGATTTGTCCTTCACTCAAAATACCCACAATACTCCTCAACAGAACAGCTGGTGCGTGTGTAAGTCATTACTTGTGTGTGTCTGTGGCAATTTGTTTTAGCTTTGTTATATGTGTGATAAATGATTTGGTCATGTGAAGGGCAGTCATAATTAGAAGAGGCTGGTACAGTGGGCTGCTTACCCTGGGCACAGTCTTTCTCTCTTTTACACACACACACACACACACACACACACACACACTTTCCTTGGCTGGAAGTGGGACTGATAATATCAGCATTAATGATATCTGCAGGAACACAGATTAGGTGACTGATATGTTTTGGATCTGATTGTCAGTAAAAGGTCTCATAGATTTTCACTTGTAAACAGTTGATCTGAGATCATTTGTTAACCCTTTACAGCCCTGTATGTCAACGAAATTGAGCTTAAATTCAAAACTGTCTGTTACACTTTCTTATCTAAATGTTATATCCTCAGAATATGTTGTGCAGCATCGCAAGGAGTTTTATAGTTAACATAAAATGTGTTTGCAACCCATTTCATTACATTTATGCTAACAGCAGATGCTTTTATTCAAAGCAACATACAGTGCAACATTCAGTGTATAATTTTATCTGTATATGTAATTTCAGTTGACCTTGGCACTGCACCAGTGGTGGAAATGGCCAAAATTCACTGGGGGGACTCAGGTAATAATGATAATTTTTAGATGATCTTTCAGATATATTTAATTATAAAATCGTTTATAAACTATATTAACATTAAACTTATTTCATATTTTCTCAAAACCTTCTTGGATACTAAGACAGGCACCTGCAATTCTGGCCAAATTAAAGATACGTTGTGTGTGAATTTGCACGTTATAATGCAAGCTTCATTTATGACCCCTTGTGTTTAATAATAATAAAAAAAAGATTGATTAGTAAAATAAAACAATGATTTAATAAAAAATCTGAATGGTTAGTAATTGTCTCTAATTGGCCTGTTTAGCTAAGCCCTCAAAACACTTCTTATTTAGTGGTACAGTATTGCATGATTTGTAGATTATATTTAATAGTTTACACTTTGCATTAACATTTTCAATTAGTTTTTGAAAGGTAACATTACATTCTTAAGGACTCCACGCTTACTTTTTTTTTTTCAGGAGCACTTAAAAAAAACAAACAAACAAACAAAAAAAACACCTGATCAATGACAGAAATTAACCTTCACATTATAAGGCGATATTTGACTCCTTAAAGGTCACTTTAGTACACTTTATTAAATGTATGCCATCTTTTGTGCCAAAAAATTTAGATTTATAAACTTTTAGCAAAATTTTTTATTAAACAATAAATTCAGTTAAAATAATAACATACAATCAGGAAGAATAAGTTACTAGTCAAATGAAATCAGCATCGACAATTCATCTTTGCACGGCACAGAAAAGCACAAATGTGGCATTACAGACTTTTTGACAAGACTCAGAGGTGGCATTAATGCATTTCATAATAACAATGTTATTAAATTAATGTTTTAAATATAATGTTTTGAATATAGAAATATTAAACAATTTAAATGACTCAGTTTATACTTTAAATTATATACTTTGTATCTTTAATCTAACTTTGTAAGTGGTCTCTGTATATTATTTTTAGCTCTTGGTATGTGTTCTGTCCTCTGGTATTGATGCTTATTTGTTTCTGTTCCAATTAAACCTGACTTGTAAAGCGACACTGGGTGTTGAAAAGGCGCTATATAAATAAAAAAGATTATTATTATTATTATTAATATTATTATGTGTATATTAAATGAAACTGAAATCGCCAGTAGGTGGCAGCAAGTCACTGTCTTTATCACTGAATCATTCACTCAATTGATTCGTTCAATGATTCATGTAGGAACGAAGCAAGTGACTCCCTTTATGACTCATTAGATTTGTTCAACAACGCAGATTCATTCATAAACAAACAGCGCTGTGTTTGCTTGGAGATGCGCAGTGGCTCAGCTGGGACTTGTTTGGAATTATTTTAGTTGATGAAATAGAGCACAATCAGACAACAGTGTTCCTAAAATGTAAGTTGCTTAATATTAACGTATGTATAAAATCAAAAATGTATAAAACTGTTGTATAAATTAAATTTTACATTTGCAAACTCCCTTTATAGCCTAATCATTAAAATTCGGTCACTCCTCTTAGTTCATCGCGATCTCACAAACTTCCATTTTAATTAATGAAGCTCTCTACACCGCACACTGAACGTATTATTTACATCGCGTCTTCTGCACTTTGTTTGTTATAATGAATGACAAAAACTGCAGTCTGCTCTCACGATCTGTGCCGTGAGGAGCAGCACGCGCACCGATAGAGGCATTTCTATTGGCTGCAGTCTGCAGGTATTGTGGCCAAATCACAAAAGACGGCACTGCGCAGCGAACCATGGACACAAATATATCGCGCTAGGTTTATGTGCAGAAGTGGGATTGCTTTCGTGGTCTTTTGAATGGATAAAATATAGAAATCACTTTAATTTCCAAATAAACCTAACCAGTTGGAAATGAAACGCCGCCCCCCCTCGAA